GGAGGCAGAGGCAGCAGCGCAGGCGCATTGTCGTTCTCGTCCAGCACGAACACCTGCAGCGTCACGTTGCTGCCCAGAGGAGGCACGCCCGCGTCGCGCGCGCTCACCTGGAACTGCAGCAGCTCCAGCTCCTCGTGGTCCAGAGGCTGCAGCGCGTACACCTGGCCGCTCTCCGCGTGCACCGACACGTAGCTCGACAGCGCGCGCTCGCCCACCCGCCGCTCCACCAGCGAGTAGGACACCAGCGCGTTCTCCTGCGCGTCCAAGTCCCGCGCGGACACCGTGAAGATGTGGCAGCCGGGCGGGTTGTTCTCCTTCACGAACACCGTGTACTCGGGCTGCGCGAACAGCGGCGAGTTGTCGTTCACGTCGGCCACCTCCACGGCCAGGCTGGCTGTGGCCCACAGAGAAGGCGTGCCCCCATCCCGCGCTGTCACCACCAGCTCATAGACGGACACACTCTCGCGGTCCAGAGCGCTGTCCAGGACCAGGGAATAGTAATTCTTGAATGTGGACACCAGCTTGAAGGGGACATGCGGTGTTAGGGAGCAGGTCACCTGCCCATTGGCGCCAGAGTCACGGTCAGACACGCTGATCAAGGCGATGACAGTGCCCAACTGAGCATCCTCTAGCACCGGGAGAGACAGCGAAGTGACAACTACCTCGGGTGAATTGTCATTTTCATCCAGGATTTCCACTAGGACAGTGCAGTGACCAGCCATTGGTGGGCTTCCTTTATCTGTAACATCTACATGTATTTCATAAGTGTTACTATCTTCAAAGTCAATAGCATCGTTTACTCTTATTTCTCCCGTCCTTTCATTCATTAGAAATTTCCTTCTTATGCTGGGTGTAACCAAGGAGCTAAATGAATATATCAATTCCTTGTTTATTTCTTCATCTGCATCAGAAGCATTTAGCCATATTACTAAGGTTTGGTTTGGTGCATTTTCATACATCTTCACTTCATATATGGATCGGTCAAATATTGGGGCATTATCATTGGCATCCAACACCAGGATCAGCAGAGAAACAGATCCAGTAAGTTCGGGTTTGCCTCCATCAGTTGCTGTTAATAACAACAAAAGCTGAGGATTTTCTTCACGATCCAGCAGTTTTCGTAGCACAAGTACTGGGAATTTGCCTTTGTCTTTCTTGTTTATAATATCAAGAATGAAAAACTCATTTGGGCTGAGTCTGTACGTAAGCTTTGCGTTTTCTCCAACATCCGCATCAGATGCGCCTTCTAGTGGAAATCGAGAGTCAAGCAGTCGAGATTCCGGTATTGCCAGCTTTTGTTCTGAGACGGAGAATACCGGGGCGTGGTCGTTAATGTCCTTCACCTCCACCTCCACATGGAAAACCTGCAGCGGCCTCTCCACCACCACCTCCAGGTGGATGCTGCACTCCGCCCTCCGCCCGCACAGCTCCTCGCGGTCGATCCGAGAATTCACAAACAAAATGCCATTCTGCAGATTTACCTCCAGAAGGTCCCCGCGGCCTTTGGACGCCACCCGGAACAGGCGCGGCACCAGCTCCGCCAGCTCCAGCCCCAGGTCCTGCGCGATGCGACCCACAAAAGTACCGTGTTTGGCCTCTTCGGGGACCCAATAATGGACCTGGCAAATCCCCATCTCCCAGGATGCGAGGAGCAGAAGTGAAAGCAGCAGATGGCCCGTTCTCAGGTCGCTGGGTCTGTAAACCAACATCATACATACTTTCCCGGTTTTACAAATCCATGAATCAGCGGTCTAGAAGACTAACATGCTCTGAGTTTTCCTGTTGGGTTTCTTACATTCAATTATATCGAAATGGCTGAGATCTCAGAATGACGCTCCTTCCTGGTCCTTGAGAATCACAGGATTGTGCCTTTGTTCTAAAAACCCATTTTGTGGAAGACAGCGACATCCGGTGGCTTAATGTGTAAGTACAATTCCATTGGTTACCTTCTTTTTCAATCAAATCTTTTTCTTTTCCCCCATGATTTGATACTTCAATTCTGCAAGGGCATAGTTCAGCTGCAGGAGGCCCCTCCACCAGCAGGCACAGCCTGCAGCCAGCTCTTCGTGCTCACGATTCAGGGGCACAGCCTCTCCCAACACAGACACACTCACTCCTGTATTCCAAGATGACCCCAGGGTCCCACAACCCTCACAACCTGCTCAGCTGTCCTCATCCCTACCCGTCCTTCAGGTCGGATGGGGAGGAGGACAGTGCTGGAAGGTGGTGGCAGTGGCTGTGGTAGGAGAGGAGGTAGCGGGGGCTCCATAGGCTCTGGTGGGCCGAGCCTGGGCCTCAACCCCTCAAACAGTGAGAACTTCAGGGGCGCTGATAGGGTGTTGAAACCCTGGGGAAGCACAGCTCAGGCCAGAAGGAGAAGCCCTCCTTGATATTGTCCAGGACAGAAAGTGCCGTGTACATGAAGCCCCGAAAGGCCTAGTTGTCATTCTCACTGAGGTTCATGTCCTCTGGACTGTCCACTCTATTTTTACATATCTGTATCTCTATGGACTATCAAAGCTTCACATTATGTCTCTTTTGTGAATAATAACAATCATTGTCCATCCCCAGTACAGATCCCTAGTAAATGTAGAATCTTGGAGAAGTCATTCTTTCCCTAACCATGATTATAATTTCATTAGCTAAATTTGAATATACCCTTAATATCTGCATAATAATGAGTGTACTCATATTTCGTTGGATAACAAATTTAGGTAACTTCAATTTCTGACACAATTCATTTCTCTTTGTCATTATTTTGAGATTAAATAAACCTTATTTAGACACTAATTTTAAGTATCAATTCTCTGTGAGGTGTTTGGATATCCTAAAAGAGAATACTAGCTTCAACATCAGAAATTTCTCCATTCTGATTTCTATTTCCCAACTTACTAATCATGTGACTTGGGGGAAATAATTTACACAACTACTTTTATAACATTTGTATAATAATATGGTGGTTGTGTAAATTAAGTGCCTAGGGTAGTACCTTAAGGAAAGTGAGTGCTTCATAAATGGCTATTAGTCTCAGGCCTCAGTTTAGCCGCATTTATTATCATAATGCTGGAGACCCAGATTGGTTCCTTGGGGAAAATTATTACCAATATAATATTGTCACTCTACAGCGCCTTCACTAATGCTGCTGCTCAGGCTGAGTAGAGGCTCCTGTTTTTAGGAAAACATAAAAGGCTTTTATTGAGAAATCAGTTATACAGAACGAAGTTTCACTTTTTTATGTACATCTTACATGGGCAAAAAGAATCTTAATTATGATTATAAATAAAATAATTCAAAAATGTATGATTTTTCACTTTCATAGACAACTACTTTCATCATTGTTATGTTTAAGCTTTTCAAATACCCCAAATATATATTTTTGGAATTATCTAATAGTTTTGTCTAGCCACTGAGCCAAACCGGTTAGGGCGGGGGGTGACATTTTTAGTGCTCCTTAATCAATATAACATATTCAGATACCTCAGCCCAAGTTTAAGTAACATATGGAACCTGAAAAAAAAGTGCAAGGACAGAGATATTTGAAGGTATAAGTCTAGATTTAAGGTGAATTGTGCTGACAGACAGGTTTTACCATGGAAGTTCAGAGACTCTTCAAGTTTTAAATTAAATAAAATAAAAGATTGTTTTGTAGGATGTATCAAACATGTGTTCTATAGAATGAAATTTTTAAAATTATTGAAATATTTATTTGGAAAAACTAAGTTACTTTCATTTTCATGGTTGTACTACTGTGGCTCTATTCTCAAGACCACTCTGATCTTGTTCCACTGAGTTTTTAATTAAGGAACATTGTCTAAAATACCTAACACAATAGAAATATAGAATAGAAATATAATCGCATCACAAAAACTCCACATACGTACAAAGGAAGTTTTTAAAATATTAATTAGAAGACAAATGCTTGAACTAACAATAGCGTGTGAAGAACCACCAACTTGAAAGGCACAAACCACAATTCAGGAAATATAAGTTTGCCATGTAGTGACTTTACAGCTGCATCACCTAATATCCAGATTTCTGTCTTTTGGAATATTGAAGAAAAAGTAAATACTCATATAAACTGGTAGAGGTAATTAAGTTCCAAACTATGAATTTTAAGAGAACTCAAAGTGTAGAATATAGGTGGATCTTTAATGTCCAAACTTTATATCATTACCAGAAGTTTTTGACAGATAGGAGAAAGATTTTTGAAGAAAGAAAATATCAATTGGGATGTATTTTCTCCAATATCAGATAAAATATGAATTTCAATAAATATTCTATGTGTAGAGAAAATTCTCAATCAGCATTTTCTTATGGCCTACATTGTCAGACATACAGAAACAAATTCTACACGTTTTTAATAAGAATTATATTTGTAACATTTGTTGTTAAAATTAGATCCCTCAAGTTAAAGCAACTGTTTTCAGGCATACACTGGAGGTTACTCATTGATGTTATAAATACCCAGTAGTGCTGACCAACCATGTCTCTCAAAGTTCTCCACCCACAGAAAGGTAGAAAACTACAAAGTTGACTAGTAACAGTTACTACATATTTCTGCTATGAGGTTTCTTATTAGCAAAGCTATTAAATGAGATATTATCCATACCTTAGAAATGAATAAATGATGATAGAGAGTGGTATTGAAGTTTACTTAACATGTAAAAACTAAATTGATTTTCAACAAATATGTCCAGGTACAATGACATCACAACTTTAGTAATTCAATATGACGCCCATAACAGGTATTAAGTAGAAGTAATTCATCCCTGGCCGGTCTGGCTCAGTTGGTTAGAGCGTGGTCCAGTACATGGCTGGTTCCACTGAGGCTGGCTGGATCCTGTGTGGGCCCCTAGGTCCAAACCCCGACAAGGTAGCAAAGGGGAGGCAACAGATCCATGTTTCTCTCACTCATGGATGTTTCTCTCTATATTTCTCTTTTCCTCTCTCTAAAATCAATTTTTTAAAAAACATATCCTTGGAATGAGGATTTTTTAAAAGTAATTCAGTACCTAATGAATAATTATTCAATATATGGTTTATAATGATTCTCAATTGGAAGTGGAAACAAACACAAAAATAGCTATAAATTTAAGGTATTCGCGTTCTGGTAATAAAGGTTTCAATTAGACCAGATACCTAAAAATAAATGGATAAAAACTATTTAAATGTACTGTATAAGTAATAAGAATATTTTCTAGACTAAATTAATAAACATATTAATACATAAAGTATAAGAGCAACCTACCTTCCCAGTGGAGTCAAAAGAAGCTTCTGGATCTCCCACTGCAACTACAGATCCAGGAGGACCTGGAGGAAGACTAGGGCTGAAGGCCATGAGGTCCGTCTTGGGCGGCCCCTCCCCAGAGCACACCCTCTGCCGCCTCTGTTGTGAGTACGACCAGCTGCCCACCGCGCTGGAGCACACCAGCACCGGCTTCCCCGGCCCGCACACACCTTGGGTGGGCAGCGCCCAGCACCGCAGAGCCGTGTACAGCAGCAGCGAGAGCACCAACAGGCTGGACACCGCGCAGATGGCGATGATCAGATACACGTTCACGTCCACTAGCGCCGCCTCCGCGTTCGTAGAGCCAGAAGACAATCGCGATGAGGCCTTGGGCACCTGACCGCTGTCCACCAGCGACAGCAGCACAGTGGCCGTGACCGCCAGCGCCGGCTCCCCGTGGTCCTTCACCAGCACCAGCAGGCGCTGGCGCGGAGAGTCCACCTCGTCCAGGGCGCGAGTCGTGCTGATCTCGCGGAGGCAGAGGCAGCAGCGCAGGCGCATTGTCGTTCTCGTCCAGCACGAACACCTGCAGCGTCACGTTGCTGCCCAGAGGAGGCACGCCCGCGTCGCGCGCGCTCACCTGGAACTGCAGCAGCTCCAGCTCCTCGTGGTCCAGAGGCTGCAGCGCGTACACCTGGCCGCTCTCCGCGTGCACCGACACGTAGCTCGACAGCGCGCGCTCGCCCACCCGCCGCTCCACCAGCGAGTAGGACACCAGCGCGTTCTCCTGCGCGTCCAAGTCCCGCGCCGACACCGTGAAGATGTGGCAGCCGGGCGGGTTGTTCTCCTTCACGAACACCGTGTACTCGGGCTGCGCGAACACCGGCGCGTTGTCGTTCACGTCGGCCACCTCCACGGACAGGCTGGCTGTGGTCGACAGCGAAGGCGAGCCCCCGTCCCGCGCTGTCACTACTACAGCGTAGTCCGACACGCTCTCACGGTCCAGAGCGCTGTCCAGCACCAGCGAATAGTAATTCTTGAAGGTGGACACCAGCCTGAAGGGGGCATGGGATGACAAGGTGCAGGTTACATGCCCGTTGACACCGGAGTCCAAGTCGGACACACTGATTAAGGCAATGACGGTACCCAGTGGCGCATCTTCTGGGACTGGAAGGGATATTGAAGTCAAGGAAATCTGAGGGACGTTATCATTAATATCTAAGACTTTTACCAAAACTGTACAATGACCGGCCATCGGTGGCTGGCCTCTGTCCCTGGCGTCAATGCGGATTTTATAGAAACTCACTTGTTCAAAATCCAAATTCTTTCGAATTTTTATTTCTCCACTATTAGATTCTATGCTAAACTGATCAATAACCATGGATGGAACGCTATTAAAAAAAGAGTAAGAAATCTCCCGATTAATTCCTTCGTCGGGATCAGAAGCATTCAGTCTGATAACTATTGTTCCGTTGTCTGAGTTTTCGAATATTCTCACTTCATATTCAGACTGTGGGAAACGGGGAGCATTGTCATTCACGTCCATCACAGTGACCAGCACCTGAACGCTGCCGGTGAGCTCAGGTTTGCCTCCGTCGGTGGCCGTCAGTAATAAGTTGTGTGTCGGAGTTTCCTCTCGGTCCACAGATTTCCTTAACACGAGGTCAAGTTGCTTATTCTCCTCATTTTTTGAATTCACATCTAGCGTGAAGTAATCACTGTAGCTAAGCCTATAGGTTAAAATGGAGTTCGCTCCCATATCTGCATCCCAAGCGCCCTCTAGCGGAAACCGAGAATCTGGCAATCTGGATTCTGAAACATGCAGCTTTTGCTCCTTTACCGGGAACACCGGCGGGTTGTCATTAATGTCCTTCACCTCCACCTCCACATGGAAAACCTGCAGCGGCCTCTCCACCACCACCTCCAGTTGGATGCTGCACTCCGCCCTCCGCCCGCACAGCTCCTCGCGGTCGATCCGAGAATTCACAAACAAAATGCCATTCTGCAGATTTACCTCCAGAAGGTCCCCGCGGCCTTTGGACGCCACCCGGAACAGGCGCGGCACCAGCTCCGCCAGCTCCAGCCCCAGGTCCTGCGCGATGCGGCCCACGAAGGTGCCGTGCTTGGCCTCCTCCGCCACCGAGTAGTGAACTTGGTCGCTCCCAGTCTCCCAGGCTGCCAGGAACAGAAGCGAGAGCAGCAGACACCGGGCTTCCGGGTCTCCTCGCCAAGGAAACACCATGTCAAGTACTCGCTTTATTGCTATCAAAGAGCTTGTTTGATACAAAGGCGTACTGGTGCGTTTCCTGACGTCTTCAATACAATTCCGCTGCCTCCGCCATTGTTCTGCATTTAGAGACGGATACAGGATTCCTAGAGGAAGGCTGGATCTTGGCTGGACAGAACTTCTTTGTGGACAGCGACATCAAGCGGCTCTAAAGGGTATAATTATTGAATTCACTTACCTCGCTAAAATGGGGTTCTTTTAATCCAATGAATATTTTCTTTTCTCTTATTCTACTTAATAGTGTATCTTCACCTTTGTCAGTCGTAGAAGTATTTATACCGCCTGGCTCCTTACGTTAATTTTGTTCCAGCTGGGGATCTCTTTCTTCATAAATAAATTTTTTCCCAATATTTTAAATATTGATATATACACCTCAAAAGTTGCACTTTACTTTTTCATCTTAAATGACTCAGTAGTGGGTGATTAAGCTCTCCTTCGAATTCATATATTAGCAACTCTCAATGGTGGCTGTGATTTTAAAAAACACCTTTATTTAATGAGATCTGTCTTAATATATTTAATTGGAACCTCTGTAGAGGTGCTTATCACTGACCTTTTATTCTAGTTATTTTGGAGCAACAAGAAAACCCTTTTCTTACTATCAGAAAAGATTTTATAAAATATGTATTAGCTAGTATTCTTTACTTGAAGGTTTTCTTGGGAGGTAAGAATATTTCATTAATTTGGCCCTAACTGAAGATTTCTAAATTTTAAAACTTAACTAAAGCATCACATATGGCTTTTACTTAAGTACCTATTAATCCAGATGTATGAGAATGAGATTAACATGTAATCACAATGATATTTTCAGGCACAGAATAAACTTATTTTAAATTCTTATATAAGTGCAAGTAATATGAAAAAGGGGAATAAGAGCATTTTCTGTGAAACTACTTACATTATCTTCATGTAAACTACTATATAGTTCATTCTAAATCATGAGAAAGATTGTGTAAAGATAACTGCATTCTTCAATATCTCTGTGAGAACTTTTTACCAACAAAGGAAATTTTCCATAGCCTTGGTATGTCAGTTTGAATTTCCAAAAAAAAACCCTACCGTAATAAAAAAGTGATAATTGGTGGATAAAGATTGGAGTATGGAGGAGGATTTCATATCAACTTCTAGTCATTCCCCCACCCCAAAAGTAGAATTTTAAATATTTCTTCAAATATGCTTGGGAAATGGTTTTTAAAGTATATGTATGTGAAAATAAAAGAAAAATAAAGCAATATAAATAGAATTACAATTACCATCATTATCAAAAGTTAGAATATTTATAGGTTATTCTACAAATTTGACTATTCTTTCAACAAGAGGAGCAAATTTGTTCTGATTGCGTGGATGCAAATTACTGCTCAGTGGTAAATAATTCCATTGAATATGGGCATCTCTACCTTTATGTAAAAGAACACTGAAAACAATAAACAGACATCCTAAAATAACTTCCTAAGGTATACTAAGATTTTACCAACTGTAAAAGTGGATAATACTCATGGATGAGTTTGTTTAAGTAAGGTATTGTTCCACTAATGTATAAACATAGAAATGGATGAATAAATCACTATATAGTCATACAATAAAATAAGATGCAGGTATTTAAAAGAGAGAGAAAACAACCAAACAACCAGAAAGCTTTTTATGAAATAATATGGCATAAATACCAAGATATAGTAGAAAAACTAAGAGTAGGTTAAATATAAGCACTTGCTTTAAAAAAAAAAAGAAGAAAGGCAGATTGTATATATACATATAAAATCTTAGAGAAAACTAAAGAAATTTAAAATGTTTCAGAAATTCGAAGAGTTAAAGTGACTGGTTTAGGTTTGAAGGTGACAGACTTGTCATTATATACTACTTGACATTTTGAATGTGGGTATGTTGGTTATACAAAGAAAGAACAAAATAAATATACTACTGAAATATCATTTAAACTATATTTTTAAGTTACAATATTCATCATGGGCAAGCAAAAAAAAAGCTACTACTGAGTAAGTTAAAAAGAATTCAGTAACTAGAAAAAGAAGATTGAAAAGGAGAAATAAATTGGAGTAATAAGAAAAAAATTAAGATAATTCAAGTTCTAGACTAAGCATAAAAAGGCAATATTGAACAGGTGATATTGAAATATGTAAGTTTTTATAAATAAAAATGTATAGAATATGTCAAATTTGTTTTTAAAAAAGGATTATAAAGACTTCATAGCAAAGTGGGGCATGTAAACATTCAGTTAGGGACTTCCACTATATAATAGAAAGTAAACTCATTATTCCAATTAGTAAAAATTTCCCACAAAAATAAAAAATAACTAATATAAATCGCCAATTATAACCTACAATATTGGACACTCTGAAAACAAAACTACATATTTAACATACCAGTAAATATAATTCAACATAAAGAGTGCAAAAAGTGCAATAATATTAAAAACAAAATTACATATGAATCTATCAACTAAATATATAATAATTACATAAAAAATATTTGAGCAGAAAACCTAAAAGACTGCGTTTTTAAGTAGCTGAAAATAAAAATTCTTTAGACTCACGTTGTCTGCAGAGCTGGGACCCTGAGGTAGGCTGGGGCTGAAGGCCATGAGGTCCGTCTTGGGCGGCCCCTCCCCAGAGCACCCCCTCTGCCGCCTCTGCTGTGAGTAAGACCAGCTGCCCACCGCGCTGGAGCACACCAGCACCGGCTTCCCCGGCCCGCACACACCTTGGGTGGGCAGCGCCCAGCACCGCAGAGCCGTGTACAGCAGCAGCGAGAGCACCAACAGGCTGGACACCGCGCAGATGGCGATGATCAGATACACGTTCACGTCCACTAGCGCCGCCTCCGCGTTCGTAGAGCCAGAAGACAATCGCGATGAGGCCTTGGGCACCTGACCGCTGTCCACCAGCGACAGCAGCACAGTGGCCGTGACCGCCAGCGCCGGCTCCCCGTGGTCCTTCACCAGCACCAGCAGGCGCTGGCGCGGAGAGTCCACCTCGTCCAGGGCGCGAGTCGTGCTGATCTCGCCCGTGTACAGCCCCACGCGGAACGGG